GCTACCGATGTGTTTGAGCAAGCTTTGCAGGAAGATCTTGCCGCCAACGCACATGCAGCAGAAGGTACAACTTCTTCATCATCCCGAGGACATTCCAAAGGAGGAGGCCAATCTGGAACATCTTGGAGGCCGGCGCTAACGCAAGAACGTCGCGAAGTACCTCAACCTTCTGAAAAGGGGAAGGGAAAGAGCAAGTCCAAGGGAAAGTCCAAGAAGGGAGAAGATGATCGGCGGGATGCTCAGGGCAGCTGGGATCATCGTGGATGGAGAGGTTATCGCCAGTGGTGATTTCTTTGAACGACTATGAGGATACCATGCAAACCAGGGAGGAAGTCATTCACCGGATGTCTATCTGACCTGAAACGCTGTAAGTGTATCATTGCAAATCATCAATACGATTTGATACCATGAGCATAATGGAAGGTAGACAGTCACCGACTGTCTCTCCGACTTGCCGTTCTGTAAGTGTATCCAAACCAAAACCTACATCTTTTGAGAAGTGTGAAGTCAGTTGCCGATGTGACATCTACGTGGAAGTCACCAGTTCGGATCTACATCAAAGCGATGCTCTTTTGAGTGGATACTGAGCGAGGCCTCGTGACTGTCTCACTTGTTCAATTCGATTTTTCATAGGTTCTGAGCCATAGTTGCACACTTTATATGTAAAAGTCCGCTTTAGTCCAGCATGTTTCGTAGTATGAGCCTCATATGAGTCTCGCGGCAAATCATACAATTTCTTTTGTAGCACTTACATCCCTAAATTTTCGTGTGTGATCGGAACATATTGTTGCCGTTCACATGGGGGGTGCGAATGGAAGTGCAGCGACACGTATAGTGCAACTTGTACATATATATGTACCATATGTACTTTGGCTCAAGGATCAAGCGACTAGAAAAGGTGCGGTTTCCGTTCCGACGCTACGCCGCTTATGGATCGTCAGTGATAGCTTCAAACTTCGCTGATTAAGATCCACTCGCAGCAATAGATCTCGCTCCGTTAGAGGGTCTGGTGGTTGCGTGGTCGGCTGTTGTCGGCTGTGGTCGGCTGCGGCGCTGTCTTATTGTAAATTGTAATAGATCTCGCTCCGTTAGAGGGTCTGGTGGTTGCGTGGTCTGGTGGTATACGCGGAGTAGCTGGGGAGTGGGAAGATGAGAACTGGCGACTTGGTAGTACAACTTGAATCTGAGGAGCTGGAAGATGAGCACTGGCGACTTTGTAGTACAACTGTAGTGCGCGGACTAGCTGGGGAGCTGGAAGATGAGAACTGGCGACTTGGTAGTACAACTGTAGTACGCGGAGTAGCTGGGGAGCTGGAAGCTGAGAACTGGCGACTTTGTAGTACAATTTTAGTACCCGGAGCAATCTGTGGAGCTGGAAGCTGAGAACTGGCGACTTTGTAGTATAACTTTAGTACGCGGAGCAACCTGGGGAGCTGGAAGCTGAGAACTGGCGAGTTTCTAGTACAACTTTAGTACGCGGAGCAATCTGTGGAGCTGGAAGCTGAGAACTGGCGACTTTGTAGTACAACTTTAGTACGCGGAGTAGCTGGGGAGCTGGAAGATGAGAACTGGCGACTCGGTAGTACAACTTTAGTACGCGGAGTAGCTGGGGAGTGGGAAGATGAGAACTGGCGAGTTTCTAGTGCAACTTTAGTACGCGGAGTATCTGTGGAGCTGGAAGATGAGCACTGGCGACTTTGTAGTACAACTGTAGTGCTCGGAGTAGCTGGGGAGCTGGAAGATGAGAACTGGCGACTTGGTAGTACAACTTTAGTACATTATGCCCCATAGTGCGGACGTGCGACAACCGCTGGCGTTGTTGGCTAGTTGTGGCTGCGCACACCTGTGTGCACAATACCTCGTACATCGGTCGTGCACATCACTCTCTTACACCTTCTCTCCCACCCCTCTGTTGTCGGAATCTGATATCACTTCCTGACAAGGCCATGTTGTAGAAGCTATTGAGACTCTGACTGTGTGCTTTAGAAACTTAAGATTCGTAAAGACTCATATGTGGGGTTATCCGGTCCGGTCCTTTAATTTTCTGGTGCAAAGGATATAGACTGCACACAAGCTTGTCAAATTGCAGCAATTGAAGTCCTCACCAACTGAGCAATGAAGGCTTATACAGTAAAACTGAAGTTCCTGTGACCCTACACATTCCACCTTGGTGGTGCTCACATACAGAGTTCAGAGCACCACTCGTTCAAGATTGCAAACCTGCTTGGGAGGTTTTACTCTAGCGAGCAAGACAAACGCTATTTCATTGCAGATCTACGTGGTAGTTAAGTCATTTATTCTCGGATGTTCTGCCAGAAAACTATCATCCATACAGAGTGGCGCTCGAGGTTGGGGCGCATCGTGTTGGCTAGCCGCCGATTGAACTTCTTTGCCGGGTAGCCCTGCTGGCACACTAGAAGAGAGTCTGTGATTTATAGCAACGTGGGCGAACAAAAACCGCGGTTATGTTATATATATAAGTTGAAATAGGTGCAGCTTGTCATGGTTTATCCTCAAACTCCCCAACTTGGTGGCAGACATTTTGAATGTGGTGACTCCTTTCTTGACGTTTCGACACCCACCGTCCCGAATAGTGACGAGCCAGGGCATCCAAGCCACTCATTCATGAGAAATGGGTTGGGGACATTCCGTGATTGAAATGTATGGGAGTGAACTTGTTTGTTGTTTTCTCACCATTCGGGCGAGCAGTCATCGAGGGCTATGGCCCTGAGTCCTGACCCTTTGCAACGAACTGGGGCAAGGATGGCAACGAGCAGGGATCGATTGCTTTGGGTGCTGCCCCCAGCAAGGAGCAGTTGGCTCTTGCCAAGCGTCGGGCAACCCAGGATCTGCTCGAACGGTTCTTCGGGCTGACGTTCCATGAGGGAAAGGACGATACCAAAGTATCAGAGGTGCATCCAACCGATTTATCGAGAGTAGCAAGCAAAAGACCATGCATTGTGAAATAATAGATTTATCATAATCGTGACTAGTGAACCTAGCTCACTCTACATTTTGACAAACAGTTACTGCCGCTGCACAATTGGAATCAGGTCCAGGTAAGTTCTCTCATACATGTCGTACGTTGGATAGCACAATGTGGCCCCAAGTCTATTGCAGTTCAGGCAGCCTTGTACTTGCACATTTCAAAGATGACTGCTTGCATTTGTCAGCCAGTTCGCTTCTCTATTTTTCATTTATTTGTTCTCTTTTCTTTGTGATGAGAGGTGGTTTGTGGCTCTAACGTGCTGCTCGCTTTCGGAACCAAACCAAACCAGGCAGAGAAGAAGGAGCTTCTTTGAAAGATCGAGCGGCTCCACGATGGCCAGGTACTTTGATGTTTTCACCCGCAAGTAGTAGTTATTATCTCAGTCAAGGGCCAAGGGTTGACTTGTCCGCTGCATTGAAGCCTTAACGATATAGTTGGCCTTCAAGTTCCTCTGGCATCATTTTATGGCAATGATCCGGATCCCTCTGCAATTGTCTCTGCTCCACCACGCGCTTTTTTTCCAAGGTGTGGCCTGTCACCTTCCAGAGGTGCGTCGGTCACCGTCTGGGAAATCTGAGAGAATCCTCGGAGCTCAATCGGTCGACTGGAGACCAATCCTTTATGTTTTTGTTTTGGCTGCTGTCCTTGATCGAGATATCTCGATCCAGTTGAGACTGAGAGGAAGAAATCTTTCGAGATGGGTTAGACGGTTAGACACCCAAAAGAGTGGATCATGTCAATATTGCGATTCCTACATGACTGAGCTCCTTTTCTACACCTCATCAGCTGCATGAAAGCAAATTTATTTGATAGTGCTTAAGTCAACATGTAGTCATGTAGTACATTTGTCTGGGAAAAGATGAGAAGCATTTGTTTGTTCACGGAGTTGGAAGAGCATGATGCCCACTTCCCAAGAGAAGAGTTCTGCAGCCGAAGACAATGTCATAGTCTTGCAAAACCAAGCTCTTTATCGAGCCCACAACTGTTGAACTCACTGATGCGTGGCTTCCTCGAACTGCCAACTTTCTGCCCAAATGCATCTTTCTGACAAACCACCAACAACCAATTTCACGTGTTCCCTGTCTTGTGCTGCAGCTGTGTGAGTTGTATTTGGCAGGTGTCCTTCTCTCTGCCACAGAGGCAGAGGTGCAGCATGCGCTGTGTTTGGTCAGTGTAGCTGTGTGATTTGTGTGTTCAGCGGGTCGGTTAGATGGCCTTCTGCAACAGCCAATGTTCAAGCGCTCACCTTCACTGCAGAGTAGACAGTGGGCAGCTTAGTAAAAACCCCTGGAGTCATGACAAGCATGAGTCCAGCATGATTTTGAACACAATTCCCCCTTTCATCTCAGTCAGCGAATCACGGTCAGCTCTCCTTTAAACTTTAATCGTTAGATCCCCATGTTGGATCAGTCAAGTTTGTGAAACTGCCCCAGTGTCGGGATTCACTGTGCTGAATGTACTATCTCCACGAGGTTTCTCTTGAAACAAAGTTTAGCATCCGTGCTGCTGTTCTTTTGTTTGACATGCCGTGAAGATCATAATACTAGCAAACGGCACAAGAAGGACGAGGCAGGAGCTCATGCTCAATAGTCTTTGCCGATCTTTGCCATGTGTGTGTGTGTGTGCCCCGACTGAGTGACACACTCTTCACAGAATTTAACGAAGGGGCCTAAGCACTGACAGTTAGCGCAGGCTGATCACCCCGACCCCAATCCTTTCGCAAGACTGCATCGCAATTGGGGTTACACGTGGATGGACTCCTGAACTTTGATCTAGATTGAGGCTCTCGCTCTTACTAACTTAGGTTAGAGGCCATTGATTGCTATTAGGTTGGAGGCCATCGCTAGTAGGTTGGAGGCCATTGCTTCTAAGTTAAATGGTTGACAGAAAGCAAGTGCACCTCCCAAGAAGTAGAAGTGGGGTTGGACTACTCATTCTGTGGCTTTTGACTACGACTTTGGCAAAGAAGAGCTTTTTCACCAATTGAGTCCACCTGTCCGAACAGTGGAGGCCAAACAGTGAAAGGCTGACGTGACCCAACAGTTTCCCCGTCGCCATCGGTGGATCCACATGTCTTTGGCTGCGCTGCGGGCGGTGCTTCGTGTGGCCCACCGGGGGAGCAAGGCTCCCAGCCAGCTGGCGCCGCTGCTGAATCGGGCAGCGAGGCTTTGGGATCCGCAGGCGCGCTGGGCGGAGCTGACCATATGGAAATGTTTAGAACATGCCTGTCACCAAAAGTTGTTGTTTGTTGTCTAATCAATCATTGGGCCACTCAAAAACGCGCTCTTTCTTTGGTTTCACATTGGCATTGCCGTCAGCCTCATGTGAAGCCAAGGCTCACCGAGTGGTGCCCCACCCACTGGGTAACTTCGTTTGGTGTGATGAGCTGCTGCGAAGCTGCGGCAATGGCACGGAGTACGCTCTGCCGGTGGCTGACCGCAGAGCTGTAAGGCATCAATCCTGGATCTGGGTCCTGGACAGGGGAATCTCTTGCATGTATATACATTAAGACATATGACATTGACGCGCACACACACACACACACACACACACACACACACGCACACATTTTTAGACCATGGGTTTGCAGTCAGTTACATCAATTCCCCGAGGAAATGAATGAGGGAACGGAAAGGTGGCAAAGTCCGCGATCAACTGAATGTTGAACAAATGTTGCACAAAAACGCTCGAGCGAAGGCGGCGGTCAGCAGCTGCAACGCGGAGGAAATTGGTTTAGGGGAAAGTATCATGATCAAACCACCATGGAAACAAACCGAGAGTGGAACAGCTTGAGCAAAAGTTGGTCGCAGGTACACGGAAGTGATCAGCTTCCGCTTCCTAGGATCTTGCAAGGAGCTTCGTTGGGCAGAGCCTTGCAAGTTCTCTCTGCCCCCCTGCTAGTCTGTGAACAGAGTAAAACTCTTTGAAACAGAGGCTGGCACACACACCCGGCCGCTTTGCGGCGCTCGCGCGCAAAACCTAAATAGGCACCTAAAAAGCAAAAGAAATTAGAGAAAGAAAGCCAGAAAGAGCATGGCTAAAAGGGCAGGAGAGAAAGATAGGTGTAGCAAAAAGTGAATACTTAGCCCTTGACTGGGGTAGGGAAACAAGCCTCAAGAGCCACCGAAAAAGCCTGAAAGAAAGCCCAAGAAGTGACGGAACACGCAAGAAAGAAAGTGAGGGGCAGGGAGGGGATGTATGTACATGTGTGTGTGTGTGCATGAATACCTAGCACTCTAGAACTCGGTGGGGTTTTATTCTCCGTAGGCCCGGCGGCATCAAGTCTCCGTAAACCCGGCGGTGTTGAATCAGGAAATTCATTGTGTGAAACATTCAAATCAGAAAAGATAATCCAACGTGTGCAGGAAACAGCAGGTTCATTTACTCGGTAATCCGGCATGGTCTCGGCGCCGCAGTGAGGGGGATCACACTCTGCACCCAGTGGGACGACAGAGCGGCACACACTTAGACCCTGGGTTTGCAGTGAAATTACCCGAGGAAATGAATGAGGGAACGGAAAGGTGGCAAAGTCCGCGATCAGCTGAATGTTGAGCAAATGTTGCACAAAAACGCTCGAGCGAAGGCGGCGGTCAGCAGCTGCAACGCGGAGGAAATTGGTTTAGGGGAAAGTATCATGATCAAACCACCATGGAAACAAACCGAGAGTGGAACAGCTTGAGCAAAAGTTGGTCGCAGGTACACGGAAGTGATCAGCTTCCGCTTCCTAGGATCTTGCAAGGAGCTTCGTTGGGCAGAGCCTTGCAAGTCCTCTCTGCCCCCCTGCTAGTCTGTGAACAGAGTAAAACTCTTAGAAACAGAGGTTGACGCACACACACACTTCGATCCATGCTCGCAAGAGCTCTATCAGTTTGAGAATTCCTGGAAGCTAGTTACTGCATTAGCGCTTTTCTGCAAAACACGGAAGGAGACTGCTTAAGTCTACTTAGAACTTCAAGTTAGTTACTGCATTAGCGCTTGACTGCAAAACACGGAAGGAGACAGCTTAAGTCTACTTAGAACCACAAGTTAGTTACTGCATTAGCACTTTAGTGCAAAAACATGGAAGGAGACAATTGAAGCTCTACTTAGAAACACAATTCGAAAGCAAGAGCGCAGGTACATCCAGCTAGCCAAGCTGGATATCCCGTTTCACTGGTAGCTTCATTGGACACAGTCCCAATGAAATGCTGTGTCCCACTGCAGGTCTGTACACGGTAACGGATTAAAGGTCAAAAGGGGATTCTACCTAGACGATGTGGTCGTTCTCCTTGCGGACAGGAGGTGGCACACACACACAATCAGCCGAATCGGTGCTCTCTTGACTGAAAAGCTTGACCTGTCACCTAAAAAACCTCTAGCAACGAACGAAAGCCTGGAAAGAAACGAAAGAACCCTGGAAAGAGAGAAAGCAAGACCGTGCATGAATTACTCAGTGTGAAGCGTACAAGTGAATACTTAGCAGCATGACGTGAAGAAGAGCTGGGTTATGCATAAGCTTCCAGCAACGAGAGAAAACCTAGAAAACGAAGAGAAACAGCAGGAGAGACTGAAAGACACCATCAAAGTGAATATCAATCTACAGAGTGATTACTTAGCCGCGTGGTATGTCATTCTATGAGTTGTCGGCAGTAAGCTCTGCAGCATTTGATGAGCAATCTCGAACAGTCAGCTAACCACGGAGGTGTCAAGCAAGACGAGTGATCACTGACAATTCCCCCTTGAGGGTCTATGCTCAACGCACCCTGTAGGGATCACACAACAGACCACAGTGGGACCCTGTTGCGAAACACACTTCCATCCATGCTTGCAAGAGCTCCATCAGTTTGAGAATTGCTGGAAGCTGCATTAGCGCTTTACTGCAAAAACACAGAAGGAGACAGCTTAAGCTCTACTTAGAACCACAAGTTAGTTACTGC